CATGACACATCATCTTGAATATTTCTCGTCAACTCATCCATAACTAAACCAGAAAAATACAGACGTAAGGTTGACCCTTAGTGTAATCCTACAGTAATTGTAAATTCACTTGTCTCTCCAGCCGACGATCTAATAGTGGTCATCAAACCTTCATACATATCCCTAATTACATCAATGTAGCCTTCTATCATCCATTTCCTCTCTAACACTCACCAAATTATTTCCCGAAGGATTCTATCATATGCTTTCTCAATATCGATAAAAACCGTATGTTTATCTCATTTCTTTTCTCTATACGTTTCTATTATTCTCCTTAAAAGATACATCGATTCCATTGTTGACCTACTGGGCAAAAACTAATTTTGGTGAAAAAATAATATTTTTTCTGGCTAAGAAAGCATTTTATTACTCCAACATCAAATTCAACCAAAGAGATGAAATTTTAAACACATACAATGATCAAAAGCAAAACTCTAGAGCCGCAAGTTCTCTGAACAAAACGAAAAGAAAAAAGAAAAAACCATTTCATAAGCTTTGCTTCCTCACTTGACATTCAGATCCACATTGTTCAATACAAGTCCAAAACTCTTATTAAAAAATATGTGAAAGAAAAAAATTAACTAGAACAAACGAAAAAATTGTAACAAATGGGGCTATTATTAACAAAGATGCAAAAGGACCAAAGCATTGAACTTTCCATATTAAAAAATTAAAAGGAAAAAGAAAGCACCTTGTGCAAATGGTTTGTATTCCTTATTTATTTTATCTGTAAGCAAACAACATTAACGACATAACGAAAAAAATTGCTTAATAGCATGTAGTTTAAATAAAATAGTGACCTTTAACAAAGCCATAAGTCAAAACACAATGATTGAACTTCATGGAGTATATGATGGGTCACAGTTTGATGTTTTACTACTGTGATCAGGAGGGTCATCTGAAGAGGAATTCATCAAAGTACGAGGAAAACATGGTGGAAAACCTTCATTAGAAGTGACACGTTACCAAGTGTTCCGATGGGAGTCATGCTCACAAATTCTCCAAGGACAGGAATCGGATTGGGTATTAGATTCTAAATGTTAGTTTTACATGTCTGCGGTCAGATAATACTTCATTACATATCAGGCATGTGATACGGGCTACTGTTAGGATGGTTAACAATGCACAGAGCATAATTGTTGTAAAGACAGTGCGATTTGCATGTTTGACGGCACATTTTTTATTTTTTAGAAATGTGTTAGATCTGAAGAGGAATCCATTAATGTTGGATTCAAGAGGTTGCAAGTTCCCATCCAAAAGTGGAGGTCTTGGGCTTTCAATGCAAACAAAGGTCGTGTTGCAGGGATAGATTATTAGCAACCACTTACAGATTAGTGGAGAATTGCATGACACTTGGAGCTATGATCAAATGTAAAACAAGATGCTTAGGTCGACAATGTATGCAAGTAAAGTGTGTAGGCGAATATGATGAACAGAAATGCATACGTAATAGGCGCACAGGTACGTGGAAGCAACATATATGAGCATGGATTAGCAGGGGTGATAGTGTACAAGATTCTAACTAGAAGTGAGAGCAACCGTTGTTGGCAATTGCTGATGTAGTGAGAAGTGCACCTTAGAAAAATTCCACTATGGATTTGGATAGTGGTTGTGATATTTCTAGTTGTGCATGTACAAGAGGAGAGGTTAAGGCACATCAATCCGCAAAGTAGTAAGCTTTGTGGTGCACCGTGGATATGGAGAGAAGGGTATTACAAACACCTTGGATTGAAGGTGCATAGGGAATCTAATTGCATAGGGTTTCCTAATTGTATGGAGACTAAAATTTTTGGGATTTTTGCCCATAAAACAGAAACTTGTAGGAATTCTGAAGTCTTACAAAAAGGTTGGCTTGTAAAGAGAAGTGAGTGGATCTCTGTACTCTTACACTGATTTAGTGGATTTTTTTTGGGAAAGCAAATACCTAAAAAAAACCTTAAATGGATTTTTTTCTCTCTCCCCTTTGCCAAACCAGGCAATTCTATGGGGTTTTTTCCCCCTCTTTGGTGTGCGCGTGCTTGGGTTTAAAATTCCAAGATCATACAACTGACCAAAAAATAAAAATAAAAATAATAAAATAAAAAATAAATAGGACAATATTTTGTCACGCATAAACAAAAAATAAAAAATAAAATAGAAGCTTATTGTAAAATGTACAATTCCCCACTAGACAATGTCGCACATGCACTTTTAAACGAACTTATGTTAAATATAAATTACAAAATAAAAAAAAATTAAAAAAAAAAGTTATTTACATAAATACTTCTAAACTATTGAAAAGTATCAATTTTGACCTTTTAAATTATAAAAACGTACAAATGGCCATCTTAAATTATTGAGAAGTATTACTTTACTCCTAAACTATAAAAACATACAAATAGACTCTTAAATTATTGGCGTGTTTCATTTTGAACTTTTCCATTAGGAGTCCAATTTGCACGCTTTTATAGTTTAAGAATCTATTTGTAAGTTTTTATTGTTTAGAAAGTAAGTGATACTTCTTAATAGATTAAGAGTTTATTTATATGGTTTTTATAATTTAAGAGGTGAAAATGATAATTCTCAATAATTTGGGAGTCTTTTGTATAAATAACCCAATAGAAAAAAGTACTCCCAAATTAGGGTAAATTACAAATACACCTCCTCAGCTTTACTTAAATTACAAATTACCCATGTAATTCTAGAAATTACATTATGCCCTTAAGGTTTTTAATTTCATAACAAATAGGTTCTTTTATTAATAAATTATCAAGTTAATTAACAATTTTTAATAATGTTAAAATTTTATTTCAATTAATAATTCAGACAATTTTATTATTGTAGAGGTGAACAGTTGGAAATTTCACTTTTTTAATTAATTCTGTTAAATAAAAAATTCTGACAAAGAAGTATTTGTAATTTTCCAAATTACATGAGTAATTTGTATTTTAAGCAAATCTAAAGAATGTATTTGTAATTTATCCCAAAATTTAAAAAATCATATTAAGAGGGAATCAAAACGAGACAAGGCAAGACAAAAGAGAAGGATATAATACAAAATTCAGATGACACAAACAAACATATGTACAATTTTCATCTTAAAATGAGCGGAAGAAAGTAATGAAAATAAGGGTAATGTTAGACCTATTAAATTTTTTACTAAATAAATAATTAAATGTTTCATCTTGTAAACTCTATATTCATCTGAGAAATTTAATCATTTATTTGATAAAAAAAATTGAAGGTTATAATCAGCTTGTTTGGTTTTAATTTTCAAAAAACAATTTTCAAAAAATTCAACTTTTTTATTTTTCTTATTTTAATGTTTTCAATGAATTTTTTAATATTTTAAGTAGGGGTGAGCAGCGGATATACCGATCCGTCAAAACCGACCGAACCGAACCGATCCGCCGCATTTTGGACGGATGCGTGATGACGAGCGGATGGTTGCGGATTGATTTTCTCCAATCCGCCAATTTGACGGACGGATGGCGGATTTGAGATTTATTTGGCCGCAACCGAACCGCCAAACCCGGATTTGAGATTTTTTGGCCGCAACCGAACCGCCAAACCGCCAAATCACGAGCACTCCTAGTAATTTATAAGATTTTGTGTTTTCAATTTGTTTAAATATTATGTTTGTGTTTTCAATTGAAAAAGAGTTTAAATATTCTGTTGAAAAAAAGTTTTCAACTTGAATATATTTTTTGAATTGAAAAAAATAAACGTAATATTTATCTATATTTTTTGGTTTTTAAATCTAAATCTAAAAATAATAAATAGAAAATATGATATATGCTGGTTGTTTTTGTTTTCAAAAACATATAAAGATGTAACAATACAGAGACATACAATCTCTACTACTGTTTTGTTCATGGTTTTAGTGGTTTGAATTGTTATTATATTTTAATAACCACAAATTGTAATACTTTATGTGGGTGAATCATGCTGTGATTATAATATGTGGATGAGGCATGCAGTGATCGTGATATTTTAAAGTTTTAAACATTCTTTCTTTAGATAAGGCATACAGTGATTGTAATACTTTTTTAAGTAACTGTAATACTTTCTTTCTCTTTTTTTTTTTTTTTTTGAGAAAGTGCACAAGTTGAATTATGTTGAAAATTTATAAAATTTTAAACCGCCAAACCGATTCGCATCCATCCGCCAAACCGCCAATCCGCTCAATCCACATCCGCCGGATTGGCGGACGGATGCGGATTGATTTTCTCCAATCCGCCAATCTGGCGGACGGATAGCGGATTGGAGGTTCCGTGGCCGCAACCGACCCGCGCCCACCCCTAATTTTAAGTAATTTTTTTAAATTTTTAGATACACCTAACAAAAACACACTCGAAAAGTATAATATTTGTGGAAAAAAAATTTAAAAAAATACACTATACCAAAAAAATACAAAAAAAAAAAAACGAAAATTTAGTACATTTTCATATTTTTGTGTGTATTTATTAATTTTTAAAAATATTTTTTTACAAATATTTTACTATTTAGATATATCTAAATAAAGTGTACCTAAAAAAGTAAAAAATTACTTAAAATTTAAAATATATTAACTAAAAACAAAAAAAATAAAAAATACGAAAAACAAAAAAACACAATTTTCAAAAAAATTAAATTCAGAAATCTCTATTGAGGGTTGGTTTGGAAAGTGGGTTGACTTTTTAGATTTTTTGGCTATTTTAGTCTGAGTTAAAAAGCTTGGTTTGAGAATGACTTTTTAGTTTTTTGGCTTTTTTGACTTTTTTTTGTTTGTGAGAGAAGAATGTAATGATTATGGGTTGGATACGATATTTTGTTTGTTGTGACTAAAATAACCTATGACTAAAATAGCCCAAATTTTAAAAAAAAAAAAAAAAAACCCACAATCTATCTTCCCAAACGGAGCCTGAGTGAATATTTTTCTAAAAATAATAAGACGGAATTTACAAAGTGGAGAGCATAGCTATCATCGATCTCTCTCTCACCTTGCAACAGAGACAGTCCAAGGGGTTACAGGATGATCCTCCGTGGCTCTATCTTCACCGTACACGTCATCAACCCCACCACCGACAGTGGATATGGGGTCCACTGAAGAACCATCCCTCATCTCTTTCAGAGAGCTCTCCATCAATACGGTGACGTTTCGTTCCCCTGGCCTTCCATTCGGGTTTGAAGCCGCGACTACCACCACTGGAGGAGCATGGACTCTTCTCTGTGATTGCGATAAACTTCTCGAAACTCCAACAAGCGAGTTGTTCTGTGCTCAAAAAAAAAAAAAAAAAACCTCAATTTTATAAAAATTTCAATGATCAGACTCCATTTTTTGATCGTTGTTAATGCCAGAAAGCACAACAGAGACGCAGAGAAATGGGTGTTCTTGAAATTGAAATTGACGAAATGGGTTTGTTTTCCTTGTAACAATCTGATTCAACAATTTTGAAATGAACAAAGTAAATTGTTTGAAAGTTTGGGAATCAATGTCAAAAGAAAAATAGAAGGAAGACCCAAAAATTGGAAAGCTGAATCGAGGGATTTGGAAATGGGTTTGATTGAAATTACCAGAAAACTGCTTCCATTCAACGAGATCATGGCGACACAGACGAGGGAAAGACGGAGCTCTTTGGATTTTCTCTCTCTCTCTCTCTCTCTCTCTCTTGAGTTGAGTCCTGAAAGAGAAAGAGAAAGAGAAGTAGTCTTCAGGTCAAGGTCAAGGGCAGCTCTACTAATGTCTCTCCCACTCTCACTCTCTCTCTCTTTGGTAGTTGCATCAACCAGAGATGAATGAGGAATGGCAGTGAATTAGCAATTGCAATCTTCCGCTACGTTTGGATTGAGTGGTTGGTTGGGAAGTTGGTAAAAAAGGCTTGGTTTGGAAAGTGGGTTGATTTTTTGGTTTTTTAATTTTTTTTTGACTATTTTAGTTTGGGTTAAAAAGTTTAATTTGGGAAGCCCTTTTTGATTTTTTGGTTTTTTTAATTTTTTTTATGAGAGAATAGTGTAATGATTATGGGTTAGATGTGATGTTTTATTTTTTGTGGCTAAAATAACCTATTTTGTCTTTTATGGCTAAAATAGCCAAAAAAGCTCCCAAACCAACTTGCCAAACGGAGTCAAAATTAATTTTTTAATTTTTTAAAATTTATTTTGTGTTTTTTTTGTAAATAAAAAGTATTAGAGATAATGTGACTTAAAAAGAGTAAAAACTTAAAAATTGACTTTTTATTAGCTTTTCGAAAGATCCAGAGTGATTTTGAGAGAAAATAAATGAAATGGAGTGATGTGTATTTATCTTACTTATTTAGATAACTTAAGTAGAGAGAAATTAGAAAAAATGAAGAGAAACTCATTTCTCTTGCGTCCCGTTTGTTTTCAGAGGTAGAATGAAAGAGATTGATAGTGAGGGGATTGTTAGTGAGAGAATTAAGTAAAATTGTGTTTGTTTTGATGATAATTGTTAGCGTAGAAATTGTTAAATTATTTTTATATAAAAATAAATATAAAATAATAAAACAAATATAAAAATACAAAAACATTAAACATTAATATTTTTAAAAAAATGCCCAAGATGTAAAAAAATTTTAAAAATAAAAATAAAATAAAAACTTTATAGAAAAAACTAAAACAAATAAAATAATGATTTTTACTTAACAAAAAATACAAAAAAATAAACATTAATGTTCAAAAAAATGCCCGACAAGTAAAACATAAAACAAAAAATAAATTAAAATAAAAAATTTCTAGTCCACCAGACTATTTTTTTAATACCAAGTCCTAGAGGCCCATCCGAATCCCCTTGGGGAGGCCCATCCTAATCCAGAGTTCCCTATCAATCTCCTCCCCATTTCTCAAAACAAACACAATATTAGTGGGTCCAACCTCACTATTAATCTCAATCCCCTCTCTAACTCTCTAAACAAACGGGGCATTATAACTCTCATTTTCAATCTTCCTAAAAGTGAAGAGATTGGGAGAGGAAAGAAACCAATATTTTTATAATATCAATTTTGTCCCTGTAAAAATAAAAGAAATAAAATGATTGAAAATATAAAAAGGTTATTTTGGTACTATAATATAAAATAATTTCTTTTCTTTATTCTTATTAAATCTAACCAAACAAAAATGAGAGAAATCATAATCATTTCTTTTCTTTTATTTCTTATTTATCCAAATAAGAATGAGAGAAATCACAATCATTTCATTTCTTTTCTTTTCTCTTATAATTTAAGTAATCATTTCTTTTCTTTTCTTTTCTAAGTTCCCAAACATAATATTCATGATTTCGAGAGGAATTTAAAAAGGAAAGGACACTGAGTATGAAATTAAATAATATATAATCATATTTTGTTTATATTTTACATTTTTGTTTTAAATTTATAAATCAAATACATTATTAATATATATATATATATATATGCATTTATCGTTAGTTTGGGAAGAATTAATTTAACTTCATTTTTTGGCTTTTAGTTAATTTAATTTAGCTAAATTAGTTTTGTTTGAAAAAAAAAAAATTAACTTTTTTTATTTAGATGTGATAGTTGTAAAAAAAATAAATAAATAAAATTGAATGATTATAATTTGAATATGACATTTTATTTTATTGATTAAAATATTTTTTTTTTTTTTTACTGATTTAGACATTTTAACTCTTCCCAGACAATACCTTAATTTATTCTTATATTACCTAAAGGAGCACAATTCCCTTCCATTCATAATTTTTATTTCGAATTTTTTTTTTATAATTTAAATCTTACATTTTGTTGGGCATTTTATCTATTTCATTCACATGCAAAATTAGATTAAACAGGTAATCGTACCTTATTTAATTTATGAGTAAAAAATAAATGATTTGTTTTTAAAACACAATTGTAGTTTATTTCATTTTCTAACAAATGTGATAAGTTAAATAAATTATAATTATTTGATTGAATTAATTATTATCATGACTAAATTTATCTAACAAAATAATTTATTAATTCAAATAACCAAAACGGAACTTGCTATAAGGGGTTGTTTGGGGTGTCCTAAATAAGTGTACTTTTTGTCTTTTAGACTAAAAAGTTGAGTTTGAAAATATAAATGTTTTGGTTAATTTTTTGACTTTTTATGAAAAAAAATGTGTATTAAAAAATTGTATAAATAAGTATATAGGGGAATAAAGTGATAGAATAGGCCGTACGGTTGGAAGCCTAAAGGGCAGCGCGGCAAAGGGCAGTGTAGGAGATTGATTCTCTACTTTTTGGGCATAAATTGGTCGGTTATGTTCGGTCTATAGGGGCCCACCACGGGTCCCATTTTACTAATCGGAACCGTTCAATGTGTAGAAATTGTCGAGCACTATATGCTTGTAAAAAATCACGTTGATTGGATATTGATAACTATCTGATCGTGTTTGTTTTTTTTATTAACTGTTAACTATAACACTATCCATTTTTATACAAAACTGATTTGATCATATATTTAGAGATATCCGATAGACGTGATTTTTTACAAGCATATAGTGCTCGACAAGTTCTACAGATTGAACAGTTTTGATTAACAAAACGGGACCCGTGGTAGGCCTTCACAGGCCGAACAACACCTTCAATTCAATGTCCGAAAAGCAGGGAATCATCTCTCAGTTTAAACTCTGCACACGCTATTCCTTGATTCATTCCACCGTACAACCTATTCCATCCCAATCTTCTTCTATACACTAATTTATATAATTTTTTAATACACATTTTTTCGTAAAAAGTCAAAAAGTTATCCTAAACTATTATTTTTTTTTTCATCAACTTTTTAGTCCAAAAAATTAAAAAGTACATTTATTTAGGATATCCCAAACAACCCCTTAATTTTTACAACCTTACCAACAATGGCAGCGAATGCCTTTTTCCTTAATCAGAAGTTGACATTTTATATGCAACATTTCAGATAACGATAAATATATGAACAAATTATATTTTATTTTATAAAATGAATGGTTTAAGTTTAAATTTATAATTGTTCATTTTAAAAAAACAAAATATAATTTATCCATAAACCTAATAACATTCACATAAACCTAATAACATTAAACACATCGTTAATGGTTACACGTTACAATCATCTAACCCTTGTCTTGCACCTCTCACCAACCACTTTTGGTTTGCATCTCTCACCAAACTACTTAAGTTTGATTTCAATTGGATTTCTATCTTTGTGGTTTTCATTTACATTTCATTTGTTTAAATGAAAAATATTTTTTGTATTTTTTGGCATGTAATATAATTATAAAATGAAAGTCAATAAAAAAAATATATTTTTCCTCGTCAATGAAAAATAAATTTGTTTGGGCAAAATATTTCAATTTTAAAAAATAAAAAATATTTTTCAAACTAAAATTTATCAATATCATTACACTACTACTACTATTATCGCTACCATCACAGACGCTACCTTTTCTATGCTCTGAGTACAAACCAAACTATTATTTTTTCTTATTAATAAAAATGTATTTTTTTTAAAAGACTAAACTAGCTAACAAGAACTTCTCATAGGCCTTACGTTTTATATGGTTGGGGGATATGAAAGAAACGTGGAGTTACCATTGGTGAAAGAGATGAAATTGACCTGCGTACGAGATATATATATATATATTATATTTTTAAATTAATGATTCATTCATCAAAATTGTTTAGCTCGAATAAATCTCTTTTTGAGAAGAGATTCGTGCACTAGATACTCTTTTCGAAAAGAGACTCATTCGGACGAAACAAATTTGATAAATATAACGGTGTTAGTTTTTTAATTATTTATTTATGATGCACATTTAATAATAAGTTGTTTAATAAAATATATTAGAGCATAAAATGGATCCCCAAAAAGAATAAAGAGAATCTATATGTAAGAAAGATGCAAATCTCCATATATAAAGAGAAAAATAAATATCCAGTTGGGACTACATAGAGGCACTATTGCAAAAATAAAAATCAAAACAATCACCGTTAAATAAACATTACCAATTACTTTCATGATTGATTCATCATCGCAATCAATAGTTGTGGTATCTTAATCCCCTCCTATGTTACAAAATAAAATATTCTGAATTTAATGTGGTCACGTAGCATATAAAAATGCATTTAGTAGTGTTAGATCTCGGTCATGAATCAAATATGAGTAGATTTGAAAACTTTCTCGGTGGCAAGTCGATGACGAAGACGAGAGAAATGGTAGTGGTTAGTATGGTGATGAATAATATGTTGGAAAAAATGATTTTATGGTAACTTTAATATAAAATTAAAGTGGGTCCTAACTACTGGTTGAGGTAGGATCAAGTGGGTCTAGATTTTTTTTAATAAGATCTTTACACCATAAAAAGAATGATAAAAAATATTAAGAATTGAATGAGAAATTTTCTCATAAAGTTGGCTTCATGAATGAGGTATTGAGAATAGTGTGTAACTATTTATCCCACATTGATTGTAAAGGAAAGCATTGATGAATATTTAAATTTCAAGTTTTTCATAAGGGTGTGAGCTGTGACACCCTAAATATTTAATTAATACCACAACCAATCACGATTAATAATAATAATCTATAATAGTAAAATAAAATAATTAATTTTATGATGGTGTGCGATAAAGTATAATTTAATTTATTGTACAATTAACTAGGGTCAATGTAAGATGAAGGCACAATAATAATAATAATAATAATAATAAGAACAATAATAATAATAATGGAAATAATAAAATAAATAAGCTATATGTGCTACGTAAATTAATTTATTATTGTGGTTATCAAATATATGATGAAGAAATTTATTTGGGGACTAAGTTAATT